GATAGAACGGGCGAGCCTAGCCGGCCGCATCCTGTCTGCACATCGATTTTTGAAGCCAATATCGGAGCAATTTTTGTCCAGGAATTGATCAGTAGAGTTTGGGTTGAATTCACAATATTTCCAAGGCATACGCGTCCATCTGTAGCGCAAGCTAGGCCGGAAAATGGTCCCAACGGCTCAAACACCAGCCTCCCCTTATCATAAAACTCACTTGTTGACTCACTAACTCGTTTACTTACTTTACACTTCGGATTTTTTTTTCATTGAGCGAATTTCTTACATCCTTATGTCATTATGCTATTTTGTCGTTCTTCGTTCGCCGCAGTCCTCCAACTTTCTCACCCCCCCCCCCCCCATAGCTTTTATCCTAGATTTTATTCTTTCTCATCTACGGTCACCCATAGAGGCTTAGTCTTCCCATTTGGAACCCAGACGACATTCGGAGACAGCACTCGCCTCTTCAGGCGTTGAGGGGAACTGTAGCAGATTCCTGCGGATTTTGTTTGACGCTTACAGTAAGATCACTCTCGCACAAAACCGCGTTAAGGGAGCACGACCTTACTTCTCAGCCACAGCAGAAAGTACAAACTGTGTAATGCTAATGAATGGCCGGATGACTTGGCCGCGTTTTGTGCTAATTTAGGAGAGTCGCAAGCATAGAGAAGACGCGTATTTACCAGAAAAACTGGACAATGGTGGCGGGGGGGGGGATAGGAGAATCCGTGAAAGGGACTAGATTCTGACTCGGCTACCTTGTACATATCCAATGAGTATCTTATCGCCCAGGCACGTTTCCGTAGATGTTTTAATTGGTATGCTATGTGAACTTTCTGCAAATTCTTCTATTCTCCTATTCTTACTCTCTCAAATCGGTGAGAATGAACAAGGTCTCGTTGTTTCTCACTTTTGAGTGAGCTGCATCAGTGGCGATAAAGCTACCTACAAAGAAAAACATGTGCCACTTCTAACGCGCTCTAGAGCGCGCGTACTAGGGCGACAAGGCTTTGAACTGGCTCTGCGGGATTGGCCCGCTCTAGGAGGTAAGCAAACCAGCCCTTTTGGCGTTTCGGCTGGGACCGTATGCTGAATGTTGGGGAGGGGATGGGGTCCCCAACGGTCGACGGTTTACTTCAACTCGGTTGGTACGATAGGAGAGTACTGACGCAAGTGGTGCAGCTGGTCCAGCAGCTCCGCCAGAAGGGCTGGTTTGCTCACCCCAGGACTAAGCCTTGGAGAGGGGACGGACCCGTCCTCTCTTTAAGGCTTAGTTCTGAGGTAAGCACCAAATTGTGGCGGTTCTAAGGACCGAGTTGAAGTGGTCCGTCCACCGTCGGGGACTCCATCCCCTCCCCAACATTCAGCATACGGTCCCAGCCGAAGCGCCAAAAGGGCTGGTTTGCTTACGTCGGGGTCTACTACCTTCGCCACGCGTATTTTTTTGTTTTATTTCATCCACCCCTCTCCATGGCGCTCGCTATATCTTTTCATCTTATGGTTAACGCAGTCTGCCTCACAAAACAATAGGACCTCAATTTCAGCATTTTCGGCAGTTTTGTTTCCCTTTTGCTGTACGCGGCGCACTCAATTTCCCTGCACTTTGCGTACGTATTGGTCGCATTACTGTGGATTAGTGGAAAAGGTTTTTGCCAAGAGATTGCGTTTTACGGTAAAGCATTGCGAGGTGCTATACAAGTAGGGTGGGCACGCGCATTTTTTGAACAGAAATGTATGTCAGTGGGACTGCTGCTCGCTACTATACTGTCACGAGAATCGGGGAATTCGTGAGCCAGGGGGAGTGTAGCCAATCTAGGGGGTGGGGGGGGGGTGAGGGCAGTCACTTGACATGCGTGAAAAGCTGGGCGTGCCCACCCACTTGTATAGAGCCGCTTCTTCCCATACGGGAATCAGAACCCGTACCCCTCGCTTTCCGGGCAGTTGTGCCACCGATAACACCATAGAGGTCGCCGTAATCACATTGACCAGGCGTTCGATGGTATATTTAATAGTACATCGCTCATCATACTTTTAGAACACGATGAATGATGAAAAAAAAACTGAAAAAATCTTGCTTTATACCGTGGAACGGGTAAGATCACCACAAGCAATTGAAAAATTGAAACACTAAAAAAACAATTTATTAAAATCTAATAATTGACAACCCCTGTATAGTTATTACGACCAAAGAACACACGAATGAGTCATGTGAAATCGGAGAAGAAATGCTGATGAAAGGCACTTGTTTGAGCCGAATCGCCCTCGTTGGAATAATAACAAGTAAGGCGGTCGATATGACATGTCCCAGAAATGTTGCACCAATCAATAATCATGCTAATACACAACAAATATTGTCCTAATGAGGACTTTCCCTATTGTGTACTTGGGACCTTAGAAACAGCCCTGGGTAACAGAGCGTCACAAATACCATATTGGCCGCCGACCCGTGAGTGATGAAAGGTGTATCTTACATAATATGCTTTAAGAGGTCTGTAAATCCTATAGAAGGCATGTTGGTGTTTGGGTAATGACTAGTTGAGCTTCAAGTTCCTCATGTATTCAGAACAAGCCTCGGGTGCTGGTTCAAGCTTTTTACACAGGTTTTCCGTAAGGTCGTAGAGTGCGTCAGTGTTCCGCTCGCCATCGATCATAATCCATGGCACAAAATCGAGCCGAGGATGTAGCGCTGCCGTTCCGCGAACCGGCTATCGCCAGAAGTCGTCGACCACGTGGACCCGTAGCGCATGAGTACATTCTAAATCACAAAAATACAGTAATACGGTGAAATGCCGAAGTGAGACATGAAAAAAGTTGCAGTTATTATGAAATCAATTTAATTGGATCCCTGTTTCCGCCTGAGCCCAGTGTATGTATGTCACGGCGATGTTTTGACAAAAATGACGAGAAAGTTGAAAGCGGATTTTGGATGCTATGGCAGTTAGGTGATGGAGGAGCTGTCTGTGATGCCCATCCTCTGTTGCTTGCACTCTCACGTCGTGATGAACTCGCTGCACCACTTTTCACGCACTCTAGCCATTAGTGAATAGGGCATCCCCTATCCCAACCGGCCCTGAATTGGCCACAGTCTCCCTGAGTGACGGATTTTTCATTTCGTGCCAATGCTATCCCTATTTCGGTGAGAGGACACAGTCAGGAGAAAATAGTCAGGAGTGCCGTCTATCAACTCCCTACAGTAGCACA